TCCTGTCTGTGTCCTTGGGGTGTAGACAAGGTCAGGGCACTGGGGACGGGATCTGGACTTCCCAGGTTGTGCCCTGGTGGTGGCCGCAATGCTCTCGTGGGAGTTGGGTGGCTCTTCAGGCTTCAGACGGGTGGATGCCTGCTGACCCAGGTCGAGTGGAGCAGCCCCTCATGTCATCCCCTTGTTCCATCCCATCACCCAGTTTTTCCCTGCAGGAAAGTCACGGAGGAAAGCCGTCTCTTGGGTGTACAAGTCACCTTGGCACCCAGCTGCCACCAGTGAGCTCCTCTGGGCAGGAGCGAGGTGTGGAAGACCCAGGAATCCCACAGATGAAATCGAATTTTCTAAGGCTAGACTTAGGAATAAGTCAGCACCCACAAGTGGGGTCCCACCCTGGGTGAGGCTGGTCCCTCCCATGCATGAGCAGGTGACCTCCATTGTGACAGGCTGCAACACAGGGCTGGTCAGTGCCATCATGGGACCCACATCTTCCTAATGCCTTGCCCGCTTCTGCCTTGGACTTTGGCCATGGAAGGGAGGCAGGGCGTCCGCGAGTTACCTCTGCATTTGGCAGGACACCCCACAGGTCAGTCTGCCGGTGGAGCGGGGAGTCGGGGCTCCTAGGGGTGAGCTGGGAAGGGTGGGGTTCCCTGTGCCCCCTCCTGTGTGGCTTCCCAGCTGCAGCCCTACCCTCTGAGGAATGCCTGGCAGTGAAAATTGACACGTGCACCACAGAGTGCCTCTTCCTTCCCAGATTCCTGCTTGTGACTCCAGCTGAGGGGACAGTGGCAGAGGTGATGCCAAAGGAAGTGCCTGGTATGTAGTTGGTGCACAATAGATGGTAGCTTTAGGAGGGTCAGCTTGGTTCTTGGAGGGAGTGTGGGGCTTTGGGCCTCGGTGTCTGCTGGCTGAATTGGTTATGGGGCTTTAGGCAGAGTGTTTGACCACCTTTGGGGGAGATGATGCTTAGGAAGTGGGGCACAGAGTGGTGGGGGGAGAGGAAGTGCCCCTGCAGATCGTGAGCTGAGGGTCGGCAGTGGGCGGCCACCCACAGCCCAGGTGAGGTGCTGCTGGCAGCTGCTCTGCAGGAGGAGTGATCAGGAGCCTCTTCTGAAAGAGTTGCGTCAAAGGAAAAGGATTCACGGGAAAGCGGCGTCCTGTGTGCAGTTTTGCTCTTAATGCCGCTGCCAGTGATTCTGAGGAATATGAGAACTGTCGCGAGGCACAGGACAGTCAGCCTTCCTTTTCGGAGGGCTGTGCACATGTGCGGGTGCCTCTGGAAGGGGTGGGAGGAACTGGCTGGGCGGGGCGTCTCCAGGAGCTGCTTCCTTTGGACCTGGCAAGTTCAGCTCTGGTGGCCTCGCTGGGCACCAGGACGGAAGCTCGAGGTGAGACAGGGAAGAGGCCACTCCCGGTGTCTGTCCTGGTGTCCTTCACAGGGAGAGTGTGCTGCTGAGGCTGGCTGCTGCTCTTCAGACGTTTAACTGGACGTGTGTATCTAGCTTGCAGATGGACCAGCTCCGGCCAGCTCCTAAGATCTCCTCCTCTCTTCTCCTCCCCCTCCCCCTCTTCTCTTCCTGCCCCCATTCTCTTCTTCCTCCCTCCACTTCTCCTTCCCCCCTCCCCCTCCCCTCTTTCTCAGATTTTGAACTTTATCTGGTTTTCCTAACATCCTCTCTGGCTCCAGGACACCACCCCTCGGACACTTGGAGGTTGTGTCTCCTTAGGCTCCTCCTGGCTGAGACGGTGGCCTGGACAGTTGTGAGGGTATGGTGGGTTGTGCCGGGTGGCTGGGTTGGAACCTGCATGACTCTCACCTGGCTGCACTCTGGGTCCTGGGGAGAACCATCAGGGCAGAGCAAGGTTCTTGCCTTGGCAGGGTGCACTCTCAACAGGACCCGTCACTGCTGGTGCAGATCTGGGTCAGGGCAGGTGTTGGTGTCTCCTGTCGGTCACCCTGCCCCCATTCCTACTGTCTCCCCTGGAGAGTCCCTCTGCAGTGGGCACTGCTGATGTGGGAGGGAGCGCCCCATCCTTTATTCTATTTTTGGGAGATTTGCCCCTTCCTCATGCATGCTTTATTCAGGTGTCCTCGTGGACTTGTGGACGCCGACTTTATAGGCTGGGTCCTAAGCCTACACTATTTCCTTGCTCCAGTTGTTCCAGCTCTGGCCACTGGGGGCGCTTCCATGTGTCCCCATCATTTGAGCTTTTCGTTGTTTTTTAAGACAGGGTCTCACTCTGTTGCCCAGGCTGGTCTGGGACTCATGGGCCCAGGTGATCCTCCCACCTCAGCCTCCTGAGTAGCTGGGACCACAAGAGCACCCCTCCTGGCTGAGGGGGTTTTATTGTAAACACTTCTTTACTTTTTGGCACCGCAGATGGTCTAGTCCACTCTGTGTTTCCTGCCCTGCTCCTCAGATCAGCTCTCTCTCTCTGAGGAGCACTGGCTCCTTTTATTGGAGAACAGTGTTAGGAGCCAAGACCCGGGCTGGGTGCCCATGGCTGCTGGGGGTTCTTTGAGGCCCACTCAGCTGACAGTATACACACACTCAACTTTTTGCTCTATCTGCCCACGGACCTGTGTTTCTTCCCGTAGCCCTCTGCTGCAGCAGTCAGATGGGAGTTTCACTGACATCTCTGATCTGTTGCCCCAGGGACCGTTCCCTCCGCTTGCTTAGATCTGCGTCCCGGCAGCGAGGAACACGGCTCCTCCCCACAGTGCCCTGGTTCAGCTGTTCCTGCTCAGCATCCACACACCCCTTCATGGAGCAGCTGGGAGGCAGGAGGGACTCTGTGGCACACTCACCGGAAAGGGTGGGCACAGTGGGTCACCAGGCACGCTTAGCTCTCAGGTGGTGGCTGTTCTCAACCCTGAGAAATGAGACCAGCGAGGCCCCTCCTCGAGGGCCCATGAGGGATGGAGCTGGACGTGAGGTTCACAGCCTGGTGGTCTGCTTCTGCAGGGGACAGTGCCACTCATCACACTGGATAGGGATGGGGCCCCTGACACAAGCAGGGGTTGTGAATTGTATCTGGTTTGTTTGGAGGTCTACATTTGAATCTGGTTACGCACTGAGGACTCGGTCTCAGCCTTCCCTTATTTTAGGGCTAAGTAAAGGCCTCCTTTCTATGTTTCACATGGGGCTTTTGACAGGCTTCAAAGCCCGAACGGAGCGAGCAGGAGACTTCAGGATGCCACATCCTCACGATCACCTCCTTGAGGTGGGGGTTGGAGTTCAGAGCAAAGAGCTGCCTCCCAGGGGTCCCAGGGGGCTGCTGGACATCTGCCTCCCAGGGGTCTCAGGGGGCTGCTGGACATCTTAAGCCCTGCGCTCAAGTCCTCGTGCGCACCTTTGTTCTATAGCCGTTGCTGTGGCAACAAGCTCAGTCAGGTGGAGGCTGATGGTACTAGTGCCTGCCTCCCCTCCCAGGAGGCTGGCAGGGGCCTGCTCAGCCCAGATCCTGGACAGCACCCCTGCAAGTGTGAGGGGATGCCCACGCTCAGGCAGCCTGGGCAGCAGGGACAGGAGCTGGTGGATGGACAGCTCAGGGCCCCTCTGCAGCCTTCTCTTGCAGGTCCCCAGTGGAACTGAGCCCTAAACTGCCCACCTCCGTGACACGCCCTTGAGCTGCCCTTTTCTCCTGCCTGCCCAGGGGCCCTCATGACCATCCTGTGCAAGTCCTTCTCAGATGGCTCCTGGAGGCAGGAGAGACAGATGCCCATCTTTCCCAATGACACCAGAAGGCGGAATGCTTATTTCATTATGTGGAATTTTAGAGAGAAGTTGAGATTGGATTTCAAAGGGTTGAATTCTGTGAGTTGATCTCTGCACCAGTCAGGGCTGGAGCTATGTCCTTGGAGACTGGCTTCCCCAGTCCAGCCTCAGATCTGAAGGACACTGGGACAATGGAATGCCCCCAGAGCTGCATGGAGACATGGCCCTTTCCCAGTCAATGGGCAGCGTGTGGGCTGCTTCCTGCCCACCTGACTGAACTGCAAGCAGCTCCCTGAGAAGTGAGTGACAACTGTGCGTCTAGGGTTGAAGGCCACTGAAACACAAGCCAGCGGTGCCAGGCTGGGCGGACCCGAGGGAGTGAACCCCCTGGGGCAGGTTCTGAGGAACGTAAGGCTTAGAAAGTTTAGAAAGTTCAAGACCAATGTTTATTTGGTGGTGGTTACATGGACAGGCAGTAGAGGACAGCTCACCAGGAAGAAGGGAGGGCGAGGTCCCCAGGACCCGTGGCCAGGGACACACTGTACCCCACCCGTGACACCAGCCAGGTCTTTGCTTCCACACGGTGTGGCTGTGCTCAGAGGCCCAGAGGGACGTGGTGGAAGTGTGTGTGTGGCTGTGAGGTCTTACAGGGAAAAGCACAAGGTGGCCTTCTTGAGGGGACGCAGGTCCCTTCCACGGGTCTGGAGAACACAGGGCTGCCATCCTGCGGGCGTAGGAAACAGCACCAAGCCCTTGGCGGGAGCCCAGGTAGGAACAGGTGGCGTCGGCCTGGCTGTCCTGGCTGCACCGTCGGCGGAGGGGACCTGGGGAGCTGTCTTGCGGGAGGAGTGAGGGCAGAGAGGCCAGTGAAGCGGCGGGCATGGCTGTCCTGCGGGATGGTGGCCAGCGGCCTGGGCAGGTCAGGCTGACAGCGTAGGCTGTTAGGAGGGTGCCGGTGCCGAATTCCTTTGGTAGCTTTTTTTTTTTTTAAATTGTTTTTAGAGGAAAATAATAAATCCAGCTTTGGGGTCAGCGTCTGAGGTAACGGTTAAGAGTGAGCACCAGAGTGGCCCCTCCGCCGCGGCGGGGGCTCACAGGTTCTTCATGCACACCTGGCAGCGGCTGATGTGCGTGCGGATGAGGCCGGCCTTGAGCGTGTCCGCCGAGGGCGTGCCCTGGAAGCTCTGCTCGGGGATGGTGGTCAGCCAGAAGCTGTACTTGTTGGCGTAGTAGTGGCAGGTCCCACGGGCCCCGTTGCACTCGATGAACGGCGTGGCGCGGAAGTCCTCCAGGCAGCTGCCCGGCGACACCAGTGACTGGCCACCGCCTTCGTCCCCAGCTGCAGTGTGCTGTGCAGAGAGCCAGAGACAGCAGGTCAGGTTCTACTCTGGTAAGCCACAAAGCTTTTTGTTTGTTTTTGGTGTTCACAGGTAACAGGCCAAATTTACCCAAATCATTTTGGTGGAGAATTAACAGTGCAACAGTGCCCCTCTGGTGGGGACAGCCCCACGTTGACACACAAGTAGCACCTACCATGAGGAAGGAATATCCGATCCACAAGCTGCGCCAGCCGGCGGGGCAGTGGGGGATAGAGACGTCCTGACTGTGGACTGCGATGGCCACTGCTGGGGCCTCACACACCGAGCAGCGGCTGATGTAGGGCTTGATGTCGTCCTCGGCCACCGGCATCATGGGCAGCGGGGCCGTGGTGGAGAGCCAGTAGGACTTGTCGTTGCGGCTGGCATAGTAGCAGATGTCGCCCGGGTTGCAGTACAGGAAGGGCATGGTGCTGAAGCGCGCCAGGCAGGAGCCCGCCAGCCCTGCAGGAGGGGAGTGTGAGACCACGCCCAGGCCCCCCGGAGCCTCATGCGGACATGCCCCACCTGTGGCCTGCCGTCTGCAGGGGTCAGGCCAGTTCCCTCCGTTCCCTTTTCCTTCTTCACTGTTTCCCAGCCCACACTGGCATTTCCAGAGAGCCTGCTCCTCTGACGTCCTCCCACATGCCTCTGGGCCATTAAGGAGCTGGGTCATTAAGAGTGGCACGGGTGGGGAGGCCACATTTGGCAGTGTCAACAGTGCCAGCACCAGGAAACTCCTGGTGGCACCTGGGCTGAGTGCCTCTCATGGTGCCCAGGAGCCTTCCCTAAAGGAGCTCTGGCTGGTGCCCCAGCCAGGCAGCTCTCCTACCTCCGGCCACAGGCGGACTTTGTCCAAGGCCAGAGGGAATTTCAAGCTAAGCAGGTTTTGCTTTTCACACTGGTGGCTTAAAAGCTCACGGCCAGATGTGGGGCCCCTTTGGCACCCAGCAAAGTGCAAAGGCGCGCCTCCTGGCCCTGCTCCCAGGGCTACTTAGGTCCTGTCCTTGTTTGCTCTTGCTCCACTGTTTTCTCAAGGCTTATTATGGAGGCAGAGCATACAGGCAGGAGCGTCCAGTCATCAGGGCGCAGCTCATCACCAGCAGGGTGCCCTGGTGTGACCCTACGGCAAAATGGACCATGCCAGCCTCCGGCATGCCCCTCCCCTCCAAGGGGACCACAGACTGAAGCCCCACCCCACCTTACATTGTGGCATTTCCGTATTCGTGCCTTTTAGGGACTCACTTGAATAAACCTCCACCCCGCTCATGCATCTGTTTTCCTGGGGTCTGGCTTAGGACCATGTGCAGTCCAGCCCTAACCGCCCAGCCGAACTCTAGAGTAAGGGCGAAAATAAGGAGGAGAAGCAACTGGTGGCCTCCAGTGGAGAGGGATCAGCATGTGGCTAGAGCCAGACATGAACCTGCAGAAGCCTTGATAAAGAGTTAAAAGGCAGCCTATGCTGGAGCGCTAAGTGTTAAGGGCTTAGTAAGACTCTGTCCAAAGGTATCTTAGTCCCTTCGGAGCCCTGAGTCTCACCATGCCATCCAGCCTTGACCACTGCCAGGAGCAGAGTGGGCCTTGTTGGTAGTACCTACCCAGGTCCTGGTTGTGGGCTTTCTCTTGGCCTTCAAAGTACAGCAGGCTGTATCCGCTCCAGAGCTTGTTCATGCCCACGGGGCACATGGGCTCCTGGTCCGTCTGACTGTGCTTCACCAGGAGGTAGCCGATGCTGACGCTGCGGCCTGGCATGCCAGGCAGGCCTGGGATCCCTGGACGGCCTGGCTCCCCTAGGGCCCAAGAGAAAGCAGCCACTGTCCACTGCCCTGGGGACCCTCAGGGGCCCAGGGCAGGGGACACTTCATAGAATATCTGGAACCGCTGCTCTTCCTTCTCCCCAGAGCGTGGGTCTCTGTGTGTTTAGCCCATGAGCCTCTTGGGAAATATTTGACCTAGGTTTCGTGATTATTAAGCATGAAATGATGATGATGATGATGGTGCTGAACACCAACAGAAAGGACTTAAAAACTCAGCTTCCACAGGAGTGTTCCCTTCAGGGAGTCCTGAACTCGGAGCGAGAAGAACTGGGGACCCTTGGAGTTGGAAGTGTCTGGAGAAGCATCTCAGTTCACCCCCCTTCCCCAAGCAAACAGGTGTGCCCTGTCCCAGCTGCAGCCTCTGTGTGCAGCTTCTGGGAGAGCTGGGCCACTCCCAGGGTTAGAATGTTCTTCCTGTGCAGAGCCGAAACCTTCCACCCAGGGTCCTGAGTCGGCCTCAGAGCACATCAGTGCACCCAGTCTGTCCCCGGTGTGGCCACACTTTGAATAGTTGGAGTCCCCTCCAGGGACATTCTCCCTGCACTCTCTGATCCTGGTCTCCTCTCTGGGTTGCACTCCACTGGTCCACGTTTGCTTTGGGATCTGCATCCCTGCATGCCCAGTCTATGGGCCAGGCCCAGGGAGGTGGAGAGTGGATTGCTGGTCCCTTGGATCTGGACGTTGATGGTGCAGATGGTTTAACTTGCTGCACAGCTGTTCATGCCATTGGCTCAAACTGGCCTTGGATTAATTAGGCAAATCCTGTTGTTTTTTCTAGTCTCTTCCATCCTTCACACGAACCCAGCATTTAAAGAACTCGGGGCTTTACAAGGCTCCTGCCACCTCAGCAGGCATCTCTGGCTCCTTATCTCAGGCCTTCAAGATCCTGGTGACTCTGACTCTTGAGCCTATGGTCACCTGGTATCCCACAGGAAGGAAGTGGCTGTCCCAACAGGCACAGGTGCCGGGAGCAGACACAGGACACAGCTGCAGGAACATCAGGGCTAGCACAGAAGGGTGCAGTGGCTTTCTGCTCTGCGGGGCACCTCCTGTCCTTGCCTGCCAACCTCACTGTGTTACCCCTGGTAGGGCCTAATGGTAGCTGACTGCCCCTTCTCTCTAGCTGCTCATCACGTACCTTCTTGGCCAACTGGTCCCTGGTGCCCCATAGGCCCTTGGTCTCCTCGGAACCCTGGGATAGCAGACACACCACCTCTTCCCTGGGGTCCAGCCTTCCCTGGAGCTCCTCGAAAACCTGTAAGATATTGAGTGAGTGTGACCGGAAACTGGCCACGCTAAGCATGGCTGGTGCTCACCCCAAGAGGGCAAAGCAAACAGGACAGACCTTTTCCCTGTCACCCGCAGGACCCAGTGCCTTACCTGGCTCTCCAGGAGGGCCTTGGGGCCCCATCTCCCCCTGTGCCCCAGGGGGACCTCTCCTCCCCTGGGGGCCCATTGTCCCAGGCTGGACAGAAATTGTCAGGGGGACTCCTGCAATCCCTGGGGATCCCATAGAACCAGGGGCACCTGTAGAGGAAAGAAAGGCCAGTAAACACTCAAGAACAGCTACTTCCCCATCCGGAACCTGTCCTGGAAGCCCCGAGAACAATCTTGCATTCCAGAGAGGAGCTGGAGATCTCTCATCTGAGAGGCCACCCTGAGCCCCCCACCTAAATACTAAAGGCGTCTCCCACTGGGTCCCAGGAGCGTTCCAATCCTGCTGCTCTCCAGGGAGTGGGCTGCATGCCAGAGGGTTCCGGTATCTGCCTCAGGAGGTCCCCAGCCTGGACGGGAGGCCAGGTCCCTGGGCGTCCATGTGGCCTGCTTGGCCTGAGCTGCCGTGCTCTGCAGGTGCCACTTACCAGGGAATCCCTGGTCTCCTTTGGGCCCCTTGGGGCCTCGGTCGCCCACAGCGCCAGTGGCTCCAGTGTTGCCCATGAATCCTGGTTCGCCCCTGGGGCCTGCAACACAAATGGACGTCAGACACATGTCCCTGGGGAAGAGGCTCCGGTCTCTGCCATGGTACTGGCTCCTCTGCCTGGGCACCATTACCTTTTTCTCCTGGGAGACCGAACACACCAGGCCGGCCCTGTGGCCCTGGGTCCCCGACCCAGCCTTTGTTCCCAGGGACTCCTGAAGCTCCTGGATTCCCATCATCTCCTTTGCTCCCGGGAAAGGCTGCAGGCCCAGGTGGCCCTGGTGGGCCTCGGTAGCCTGTGGGTGTTAGTTACAAGAGACGAGAATTAAGCCGGACCCCAAGGAGGTTCTGCCGCTGCCTCGGGGCTTTTTTGTTTATAATTGTAAAATACATACAGCATGGAGTTCTCATTTAGGGACTGAACCCAGGGACGTTGTACCTCCGAGTTACATCCCAGCCCTTCTCGAGAGAACATCTAGGTGGCCAAGCCTGTCCTTGAACTTGCTATCCTCCTGCCTTAGCCTCCCATCACCGGGCTCATAGGTGTGTACACTGTGCCCAGCTCACCGTTCTGAGTCCACTGCAGGGTGCAAATCTGACCCTACAGCAAGTAATGGATGCACACTGTATCACTTGGTTCCCTGGGGACCGTGTTGTGCAGGATGGGAGGGATGCTCCTTTGGCCATGTCTGGTCAGTGTGCAGAGAAGGTCTATTCGGCCCAGGAGTGAGCTGGCACCAGCACCCACCCCAGGCACTTCCTCCCACCACGTGAGGCCTACTTACCTTCTAGGCCAAATATGCCTGGTGCTCCTTTGTCACCTGGTGACCCAGAGATGTTGGAAGGGGGGGTGATACCAGGGAACCCCTGGAGACCTGGACTCCCGGCTGGACCTCGTTCCCCTTAGGAGGAAAACAGAAGTTTCTTTTAGTGCCAGCAGCCAACATTCTAGCCCTACTGTTCTCCCTGCTCCCGTCTCCGGAGGACCAGAGCTACGCAGGGTGAGGTAGTGACCCAGTGTCCTCATGTCAGGGACGTCTCGAGGAGGAAGGGGCTATGTGACCCGTGGTCAGGAGGGCTGATCATCTGTCCCTCTAGCCCCCAGGTTCTGAGGAGCCCGTCTGGGGCCCTGTCCTGACTGCCACGCTCCAGGGCCTGCAGGACTATGTTCAGGAGGTCCCCAGGCCCTAACACTGACACTCCTGGGCGGCTCATTAGCACGGGGGAGAAGGTGAAGGGGTCACAGCAATGTTGCTAAGCCTCCTTCTGTCTGTCCTTCAGTGTCGGGCGCACGGAGGATGGAGAGGTGGCTAGCCCAGGAGCTTATCCTTCACCATAGAGAGGGGTCGACATGTACCCACACTGAAGAACACGATCAGCCAAGGGACAGTGACTGGCCAAGAGGCACTGCAGCAGGAACTCCCCCGAGGACCAGCAAGTCCTGTTCTCTGCAGTGTCCCATCTCTGCTAGCTGCTGCCCCGTCCCGCCTAGTGGGCTCTGCTCATGGAGATGGTAATGTGTGCTTGGAATGTGTGGCCTCACCTGGGGCTCCCTGCTCCCCTTTCCGTCCTGGGACTCCTGTGGGGCCTGGAAGGGTGTTGGCCTCTCCTGGGTCACCCCTGTCCCCAGTAGGTCCTGGGAATCCTGGTTCTCCGTGGATGTCAGCACCTGCGGTAGAATTAAGACAGCAGCCAATGGCCACGTTGTTCAGCAGTGCACAGGTGATTTTCCTAAGTAGGACAATCAGTGCCACTCAAGTCAGGCAGCCTCAGTGACCTCACTTTGCTCTGGTGTTACAGAATCTGAGATCTGGAAGGGATCTCCAAGAGGACACTGGAGCCCCTCACCCTATAGATACGAAGACTGAGGCCCTCAGGGCCTGAATTCATTGACACAGTCAGCAGAGGAGCTGGGATCTCACACCAGGCCTCCTGGCTGGAGGCTGTTCTCCATGCTATACCTTTGCTGGTTTTGAAAATTAAATAGTGCTCAAAAATCTTCCCTGTCCACATATTGGTGCTTAAAGCAATGAGGGGCAGGAAACAGCAGTACCACTTGACAAGTTTCCCTTCATCTGCCCGTTGGAATTGAAATGGGCTACGTGGAGCCTAGGGTGTGCATCTCATGTACATTTGCAAATTCACCTGTGGACCAACTGGTTCCACAAAACCTCTGTAGACAGCAGTCTTTACTCCTCATAGCAGCTGTGGAATTAGAGGTGATTTTTTTTTCTTATTTTTCAAAATATTTTCCTCACTGAACTGGGATAAGTTTTCTAAATTGAAGTCACTAAATGGGCATGTGTGTTACAAAGTCCCTCCAATGCTGTGGGCTGTGCTGGGTACAGTGCCACATACCTGGGGACCCTGGGAAGCCTTTGGTGCCCGGCAGGCCGTGTAATCCGCTGATCCCTCGAATTCCCGGGAAGCCTGTGAGAAGTTGACACAGCGTTATTCATGCAAAGGAGGCTGCCAAGTGGTCTCTGGTGGCAGGAGCCCCTTGACAACTCCAGCACGTTCATCTGCTATATTGCTGTCTGTCCCCACACAGGGCTGCCCATCCCTGACGAGCAGGGGGCAGTCAGCTGCAGGTGGCTTTCACCCGACATGTACACGCACCACTCCTGCTGCCCAGGAAGCCCACTGTACTGTCTCTACAGACTGTTTCGGGAGTCCTCAGAGCTGAGAGGGGAAGCGTGGTGTCCTTTCCCTTCCTGATGTCTCATCTCTGGCGCATTAGGTCAGTAAGACACGTGTGCAGAACCTGTCTGCCTTGCTGAGGACAAACACTTCTGGAGGAGGACGCAGCTCACAGGCAGCCACAGCTGCATGCTGTGCAGGGACCTGTGGCCCATGGTGCACCTTGGGACTGGCTGGGTCATTTGTAATTCCCAGTTAGCACAGAGCCAGGAAGCTAAGCCAAGGCCTTGTAACCCCAAGCGCCAGCTGGCCCCCGTGGGAAATGGGGAAGCCTGTGGCAGAACTTGGGGGCCTCTTGCGCCCAAGCCTCTGGTGCCTCTGTGCAGCTGTCACGGGCCTGGGCCTCTCTGGAGGCTTCCGTCTGTGTCTCTGGGAAGTGAAGCCCCTCTTTGCAGCATGTCTCTTTACCCACCGTCTGCTGTGCTCACAGCCTCCTGCAGAGGCTGGCCTGGCTGATGGCACTTCTCGCAGCCTGGCTACTTGGCTGAGTGCTGTGGGCATGCGCACTTCTGTCAAGGAAGGAATCGACTCACCTGGTAAGCCCGGCACGCCAGGCCAGCCAGAATCGCCTTTATCGCCGGGGACTCCGATCCGCCCTGGATCTCCCTGTGGCCCCCGCAGCCCTGTTAGCCCTGGGAAGCCTGGGGGGTGGGGAACAATCATTGAGTTTGAGCACACAGGAACCCCGGAAACCTGTGTGGTCCTGCCTGGAGGGGTGAGGGCTCCCAGGGAAAGGCTGAGGACCTGTGGGGGCTGCAGCTCAAGCTACATGAGAGAGTCTAGGGACTGTCCTCCCATTGGGAATGATGTAGCATCAGACCTGGACCCTAAGTTCAGCAGGATGAGGTCAGCCTGGCCAAAGAGAAAATGGGGTGCATTTTTAATTCTCCTCCTATCATGCGGACAGAAGTCTGTGGGGAATCCTGGAGGCAGTGCCCGCAGAGCGCACGGAGGCTGGGGAAGCGCCAAGCGAAGGCAGCAGCCTCCGCAGCTCTGATGCCAGCTCTCCCTTGCATTCCCTCACTAACGGGACCCTCAGGTGTGTGGCTGCACATTCAAATGCATGAAAAGGATCCTTTCAAATAGATCGGGCCGTTTGTACACAAGGGACAGAGGCTGGCTCAGAAACCCTTGTCATTCGTCCTGTGTGGCTGCCTGTCATGGAGGGGCTCCCCACAGCCCCGGTGGTCGATTCTCTCCAAGCTGTGGGTCCCCAGGCAGAGCTGGGTGAATGCACAAGAACAAGTTTCCTGGCGACGAGTGAGATTGTGGTGGAGAAGGAAATGGCAAGGTGGCTGCTTTGTCCTGGGTCTTAGAGGTCACCTGCCTGGGGACTGTGACTGAAGGGGATTTTACCTGTTTGTCCTTTGGGTCCAGGAGGGCCTTGGGTTCCAGTCATGCCTGCTATCCCAGGGAAGCCAACTTCACCCTCTGCTCCCTTCTCTCCAAAGAACCCCTTCAGACCTGGAAACACAGATTTGCTGCTTGCAACACGCCTCGACTGTTGAGTGAATACAGGGCTCAGAGCTTGCTGGCTTGGCTAAACCATGCTCTCGCCTCACACCGATTCTCCTGTTTGGACGTGCAGGTAGATATATGAGCCTGTTCCTGCCTCGACTTTTTCCTGATTCTTCCCTCTGAGAACGAGGCCGCCGTCCTCCAAGGTTGCACCCACCGGACCCTTCTGCTACCCAACACTGAATCGGGTCAAACTGTGCCCACTGGGCTACCAGGGAAGCGAGGACCTCAAGCCTCGCACATGAGCTCCTCGTTGCCTTCACTTGGTCCTCGCAGGGATCCTTAGACCTGGAGGAAGTCGGCTGCGTGCTGTGGGCACTCAGGCAGCTCACAGCCTCTGGCAGGGAACACAGGCCTCCTGCCAAGGGCTCATGAGGGCACCAGTTTGGAGAGGGATCTTCTGATGGTTGTGTCCCTGGCCAACGTCATAATCAGCAGCTCAGGAGTGACTACAAGTCAGAACCACCCTGTTCCCCCCTTCCTGACCTGAAGAACTGGCAGAGAAAATTACTGGTGTCTGAAGCTACTGCATTTGGGGTACTCTGCTGAGCAGCAGCAGGTATCCAACAGAGAGCTCTTAGGTGGTTCTGAAATCTCCTGGGGAACGTGCTCCACAGGCGGGTGGAGGTGCACCAGGGGGAAGAGCGGGTCTGGGGGCCTGGAGTCTGTCTGTCAAGCAGCAGCTGGGGTGCTTCTGAGGTGGTCACTGGGAGACGGGGACACACCCTCCCATGCGGGTGATGGTGAGTGTTGTACAGCTTGCCGGCTTCCAGGTAATGTGCAAGTCAGACCAACCTGAAGTCCACAGTCACCTGTGTTCTGTGCCTTCTTTAGTCTATGAGGCTGTTAGAACATTGTGATGCTTTTGTGGTTGTGGAAAAGAACCATGTAAGAATTCTGCTTATTCTCTATTGTGATTTTAGTGTTTTAAGAATCTGCTCCAACGGCCATCTTGCTAATGAACCTGCCCCCACAAACCACTTCTGCTGTCCCCACTCGAACTCAGTGGGTCTAGTGAGACTTGCTGCTCTGTCCTCAGAGAGCCCAGGCTGTGCCCCGATCTGACCTGGGGTTCCATGTGTGTGACAAAGGTTGTCTTGCTTTCCTGCTTTTATGAGCAAAACTGCTGAAGTAATCATCTAGGACAGGAGAGTCAGCCAAGAGCCCAATGTCCCTGGACCTCTGTTACCCAGGGACAAAGCTGTCAGGACACCAAGTTATAGGCCAAGACGGAGGCCAGAAGGGTTGTCATGAGGTTGCCCATTCCTGCGTAGCAGGGCTCTGGTCCTGTCCTGGGCTGGACACTTCTCTCCATTCTGAGCCACTCTACAGAGGAAACTCGCCCGTCATTCCCCTGCCCCTCTCACCCCATGCACTCACAATAGAATCGCTCCTCCCACCAGAGGAACTTAAGCAGTGCAGGCCCCCAGGACAGAACGTCTAGAGGGAGCTGCTGTACCCCCCAGGGTAGCACCACAGCAGGAATTGTAACTTAGACAAGAGGCAAGAGCTGCCGTGGCACAGAGGCCCTCTAACACGTAGGGTACGTAGCTGCCTCCTGCCCTGCTCAGGAGACGTGTGCAACCCCCACCTCCCCGCTCCAGACTGCTCCCTGGACACCAGCAGCTCGGGTCATATGTCCCTTGTTTCTGCCCTGTGTGTCCCAGCAGCCCAGGCTTGTTCATCTTCCGTGGTCCCAGGCACTAGGTGCTAGTTATTTTCACTTTCAGAGAAAGATTGGGAAAGATTTCCTGAGCTTGTCTTCAGATTTCATTAAACCAAAAATCAGTCTTTCTTGCACAATGGGCTAGAAGACCTCAACCATTTTTCTATAAAGTTCCTTATAGTTCTCAGCAAATGTTGATGCTCTGAGAAAAACAGGCCAGAGACCAGGCTCAGGACTGTTGGTGGATGTGAGAAAATGGAAAATAACTTGTGTACCTGGAGTTCCGGCAATGCCCCGCTCTCCCTTCAGGCCTGGGCTTCCTGGTAAGTCTATGGTATCCCCAATATCACCTGTGAGATGCAGAGAAGGTGGTTAGGAGTGGATCTTCCTCCCGGGGGAGGTTAGCCCTTCACCTTCTATTGTGCTATGCCCCTAGCAAGATAATCTGCCTCTTCTTACCACAGCATCTGGGCTCGGTGACCACCCAGCATGCCTAGGAGCGCTGAACGGTGGATACCCCATTTCTTTCTTTTTGCTCTGGGGATTGAATCTAGGGCTGCCCCACTCCTGAGCTACATCCCAACCCTTTTATTTTTGAGATAAGGTCTCGCTGAGTTGCCCAGGCTGGAGTTGAACCTGTGACCCTCCCGCCTCAGCCTCCTGAATCACTAGGATTACAGACCTGTGCCACAGCACCTGGCTGGATGCCATTGTCACTGCATGAGCAACACTCACCAAAGTCCCCAGTAGGGCCAATCTCTCCGAAAAAGCCGGCTCTCCCAGGAGCACCTTTGTCACCCTAGGATAAAGTTAGGAAGGAAACTGGCTTAGAAGGCTGTGATTCAGGAGGGTGGAGGGGCTTAACTATTGTGTGTGCTAAAAGCAACACTCAAGGCTCATGATCGCATTGTTTTGTAGAAACATCTAGAAGTTTTTTCAGCACAGTAGGGTAGGTGCTTTGCTTTCCCATTCTTATCAAGTGGTGACGTGACAGAAAGAAACAGCTCGGCAGGTTTGTTGACATGATTGGCACTGCTGTGCAGGTTGGTCATGACCCTGTGGCACCAGCCCTGCAGGGGGGCTGACGGTGTTCTCTGCCAGTCTCTCCACGGGCCTGCATGTGGACTCCCATCTCCAGCCTGTTTAGCCTCCCCTGCCCCATGAGGCCGGCACTCCTCTTTCCACTGGACAGAGGAGGAGCCCAGGGCTGAAGGATTGAGAGAATTGGTAAGGCCACTGGGCTAGCAGGCAGCAGGACAGGGCTGTGTGCCTGGGCTGCTGGTGGCAGAAGGTACTCTAGGTCATAAAACAGGCATGTGGCTGTGTACTGCCCTCTGCAGGGAGAGGGGGCCTGGGTCACTCTGACCTCCTGGAAGCCACACTTTTCCTCTCTAAAGTGGCCTCTCCCCAGAGGGAAGTGGCTGTTCTGCCTTGGTGCCAGTGGTCCCCAGGTCAGCACCCACACAGGGCCTTCAACCTGCAGCACAGAGACCACGGCCCTTCCTCGCGCGGCCTGGCTTGAGTCTCCAAAGCAGCGACAGGGCTCCACGGGCGGCCGAAGGAGTGAGGTCCGAGGCTATGTCCGTGTGGGGATAATGACCCATTTCTCTCCAAGGTTTTCCTTATTGAGGCGTCACTCACAGAAAGCACGCTAGCCCTGAACGCACAGCTAGATGCACGTGACACAGGTGCCATCAGATGGAGATGGGCTCCCCGGCACTTTGCGGAAGTTCTCAGCACCTGCGTGGCCACTCTCCTCCCTGACCTGGGCCACGGGGTCCCGTTGGTCCGTGAATGTCATCTGTGCTTTCTCGTTTCTGGTGTGTGTTCAACCTGGAGCTGCGCCTGGCCATGCTGGGCCTTGTCAGGAAGGCCCGTGTTACACTGCGCACCGCTCTGCTCTCTGGGAGTGCCGTGTTCACGGGCCGTCTCTCCTGCTGACGGACACTCGAGCTGTTCCCCAGTTTGGGGCTGTTGGGGCAAAGTTGCTGGGAACACCCTCAGGGGTTCCTGCGGTGGCCGAGTGCATCTTCCTCTTCAGCCGGCCCCAGCGGCATGGCTACAGATTTGGGAGGGAGGGGCAAGACCCGAGGACTCTGCACCCCAAAGCAGGAACGCAGACGGGCCAGCCGGGGCTATTGCTAACAGGGTGACCTGCCCAGTGCTCTGACCACACCATGATTGACAGAACTGAGTCTGTCGTGTGCTGCAGACCTCGAGGGAGTGACACCTTCAGCAAAAGAGGATGGAAACGGAGTTGGCCGAGGCACAGTCTGCGGCAACCTTGGGCCTGCCAGTGTGACGTCTATTCCGCACTCGTCCTAGGGGTGAGCAGGCAGGATGTGGAGGCCAGAGCCCGCCCAGCTCAGGATGCCCACTGTAACATGGCAACAAGAGGCCACAGCAAGTGCTCCAAAGCCACCCATTGTGTGGAGGAGCAAATAGCCAGCAGGATGTGACTTGGGCTGCCCCTCCCACCATGCCCCGTAATAGGCTCTCAGGCCTCCGATGTCACATGTGATCTCTGGAAATCCACACTTTGTTCTTTCAAGGCCCCTGTGAAAAATGGCAGGCCATGCCGTGTTTCATCCACCAGGAGCCCATGGAAGCGGCAGTGGCAGCTGTGGTGGACGCTCGGCCACGTGGGCATCGCACACGCACAGCCTCCCCTTGCGCTCCACGGCCCAGGACTCTGAGCTGTGGCTCGAATACCCTTTCCCAGCGAGGCGGGAGAGGTCTTGGGGTGCTGAGCAGCGGCATCACTCACCCGGCTTCCTGTGAACCCTGGGAATCCTGTGATTCCAGGGGGGCCGGTCACTCCAGGGAATCCTGGCAGACCTGGTACGCCAGGGACTCCGATGTCTCCTTTGGCTCCCTTGATGTGGCCGGGCCTTCCAGGTAGCCCTGGGATTCCTGCCAGCCCGGGGATCCCCGGCATCCCTTGGATTCCTGTAGGAGGACCCCAGCGTGTGACGCCCTGGTGAGGAGGCAGCGCCCACCCTCCCCACGCCCGCAGACTGAAGCCCAGGTCAAGTCTGCAGAGCTCAGGGGCAGCTCTGGAGAGGAGACGGGCAGGAGCAGGGCTCAGCGGGGCCTCACCTTTCAAGCCCAGGTACCCCTTCAGGCCCATGGGCCCTTCATCGCCCTTCTCCCCTTTGATGTCCTTCATCCCTGGCAGGATGATGGGAGGTGGTCCTGGGGGACCAGGGTCTCCACGGCTGCCTGGAAGGGAACAGAACACCACGGCTCCTTGTAACTCCTGAACCATGTGTGACAAAGGTGCCGCCTGCCTCCAGAGCTCCCGTCCTGAGGGACCCTTGCCACATGTCCCCAGACCAGGGAGCTCAGAGAGACCAGGGGTGGGGGGGGGAGGGAAAGTGCCCCCCCCCGCTCTTTCACTGGAGCAGAGGGTGTGGGGACCCCACCGTGGGGACCCAGCTCCTCGGTCCCGAGGGCTGTGACTGAGCAGAGCCCACCATGGAGGGAGGCTCTGCTCCCCCCAGCAGTGCCCAGGAGCCGCGGGCCGAGCAGGAGGAGCGAGTGCTCAGCCAGGGCAGCCCCAGTGTGGCCTGACAGCACAGCCAGGCTTGGCCTCAGCAGGAGGCCCACACAGGGAAGGAGGCTGCCCAGGCCTCCGGTAGGCCCCGAGCTGGTCTGCGCCTGCAGAGCCTCAGGACCAAGGGCCACCAGAGCTGGGAAAGTGACAGCGGTTCCTGTGCGGGATGTGGCCAGGGAGCTCTGGGGAGCCCTTGAGGGCAGGGGAAGAAGGGCCGGGCGAGGGCTCCCCAGCTCTCCTCCTCCCAGGAGAGGGCAGCTGGTAAGTGAATCTGACCAAATGGAAGGAATCGGTCCCTTCTTTTAACATTTATCAAGTGTAAGTAGCTAGAGGTTGAGGGGCTCAAACAACGCAATCCGGCCCTCAGGGCGTTGTGGTGCATCGCAGGGACAGACAGGCTCAGGAGCACCAGAGAGCTTGGAGGAAGTGGTGGGGAGTCTGCGGCCACCACGTTTCTAGTTAGATCCTACTGATGAATAATCCCATAGCACACAATCCTCCTTGAAAGAGATAATGAAGTGCTTCAGTGAATTCTGGGGCTGTGCAGCCATGACACCATCTAACTCTGGAACATTTTCATCACAGAAAATGAAGCCCGTAGCCATCAGCAGCCAGTCCCCAGTTCTGCGGGGTCCCCCAGCCACAGGCCATCACTATGGGCCCCTCCTCTCTAAGTCGGCCTCTCCTGG